AAAGTGCAGTCCGTTATTTCTCGGACTGCAATAATGGTCTTCCCATGCCCATGGGAGCCTCCTTTTACTCCTACATTTCTCACACAATGGTGCCTCCTACTCCGATTTTCTCCTGGAGGGCTATTTTTCACATGGGGTCTTATTTGACTCTATTTTCTTGAGGGAGGCTGATCCGAGATTTTCCGGATTGCTCCCATGCCTCCCACTTCAGTTTTCTTTACTTTTCCTTTTCCTTTTTGCCTTCCCGTTTGTCATCACTAGTGCTTGCACTAGTGGTGCTAATATTCTTGACCGTCAAGATATTGATCTTGACGGTGCACCTCACATTTATTATTTCCCCTCTTGTCGTGCCGCCTTTTCTTCTTGGGACTTTCACATGTCCCCGCCACTTGTCCCGTCGGTGGTCCCCGACACTTAGTCCCACCGGTGGTCCCCGACACTTAGTCCCGCCGGTGGTCCCCGACATTTAGTCCCGCCGGTGGTCCCCGACACTTAGTCCCGCCGGTGGTCCCCGGCACATTTCGCCCCTGATGCCATTTTTTTACTTAGTCCCATGTGGCCCCGGGTGCATTTCCCCCAGGTGTCTCATGCCCCTTGGGCATCTTGTCGTCCCATAGCGACCCTTCTCCTTAGTCTTTCCTCGCGCCTTGCTCGTGCCGATCTCTTTGGCCGTGGGCCTTCGCTCCGAGGCTCACGTAGGTTGCCCCCACGTTGGCCCCTCATTTCCCAGCTTCCCGCGGCTTTTGGCCGCCCATCCCTCGACTCGCTCATTCCCTTATTGATGTTGCGCAGCAATCGCTAGTTCAAAAGGCCCCTTGGCCTTAGTCTTATTGCCTTCCGATGGCCCTCCCGACCTCCTGCTATATTCTATGTACCCCTGTTCTTCCGCTCGCTCGCTTGCCGCCGCTTAGTTCTTTCCCCCTGTGGTTCTCGCCCTAGGCCATCACTCCCTCCTGCGGCCTAATCCTTTATCTCGTCTCACTTCGGATTTCTCTGTTGTGCACAGTTCGTCCATATTTGGTCTCTCGAGTGATGGGAAGTTATTCGGGACTCACCAGTCGCGACACATTCCCCCCACTCTTTCGCGATGTCCTCATCGCACATCAATCTCTTGTCAGTGAGTTTTGGAGGAATAGATGAGAGAGGGAGATGAGATGTTATGGATGGTTAGTTTGCCAGAGTCCGTTTTATTCTTCTCTCATTTCTTTCTCAAAGTTTTCCTTAGCTTCCGCCTCTTGGGGTGGAGGAGGGTATGGGGGGGTCGACGGTTCTACAGCTTAGACCAGGTTGCTCATTTCCGTCATAGCTCTGCCTTTTTATGTTTCCCTCAATCGAGATGTGAACTTCCTCTTCAGTCAACTCTGTATATCCAGCAGGGCAGCCCATAATTCTTTCGCCTTCAGTAACATGGAGCAGACAAGGCTCTCCTTGCTTCATGCACTTAACTACTGGTATGCTGGCTTTATTCCTAGGGTGACAATTTGTTGTCATAACACAATTGGTTTTCTCATTTTATGCCTTAACTTTGTTAATAACAAATTGTAGGCAAGTTTTCGGATGCGACTCAATATCAGGCATTTGCTCCGGAAGGGGGATGTTCGTCCAGTACAACCGCCGCCCTTGCTGTGGTGATACCCACTTCGAATCAGTGAGCCCAGACAAAACTCCCCTTAGGTACTTCGTAATCTCAAATCTATCTTCTCATTTCATTGAGAAAACATTCTCGAGCAGCAACCATTTTGGTTTCGTCTCATTCATTACTCTTAAAGTCAAAAAAATAATCTACTTTTCGGTCCGTGCAATCCATGCTCTTCCATCATTCTTTCCTCAGTCTCATGCTTAGTGAGTTCCAATGTATTTTTCCTGTGTCATTTTGCCCAGCTTATGTGTGTCATCCTCATTCGTCCTTTCTCGTATCCAGGCTTTAGAATGCGCATTACTCAGTCCTTTTATTCACATCTTTCTTTTGGCCTCTTGCCAGGCCTCTCTCATACTCATGCAAAGTCCATTATACCTGTATCTCTTTCTCGGGCGTCTTGCCAGACTTTTCCTTAGGTCTACGCAAAGCCAATTTCACATATCTTTCTTTTCTGAACATTCTGCCAGGTCTTCTCTCAAGCCCATGTTAGGTCAAACACTCATCCATTTCTCTCCTGGACATCTCGCCAGGTCTCTTCTCAAGCTTATGCGAAGTCATTTATTCATCCTTTTCTCAGCTGGACACCTTGCCAGGCCTTTTCTCAAGCTCATGCAACGTCGATTATTCATTCGTTTCTCTTCTAGACATCTTGCCAGGACTTTTCTCAAGTCTGCGCAAAGTCAATAATTCATCCATTCTTTTCTTCTGGACATCTTGCCAGGCCTTTTCTCAAGCCTGCGCAAAGTCAATTATTCATCTCTTCTTTTCTTCTGGACATCTTGCCAGGCCTTTTCTCAAGCCTGCGCAAAGTCAATTACTCATCCATTCTTTCGCTCATGGTATCCTTCTCTTTTGCACGCTTTTTCTTTGGTAGATGGCACACCTTCCCCCCACTCAAAATGCGATGTCCCCATCGCACGACTGGTTCTCACTCGGAGGTACGCAGACCTTGGCCCACCAACGAGTAGGCGGATGGCGGCCCATCAGCCCCAAAAAGGAAGGGTGATCAGTCCTCCCCCTGCTGATAACTCACCTCATCCACTACTCCGTTCGACCTTTTGCCGCTTACGAGACGGGCGTCATCACAAAGGTACCTCCTCATATCTGGCAGGTAGGTCCAGTCCAAAACCTCCCAGGACCCCGTCTTGCCGCAAGGGATTTCTCGCGAATCGTTCCTCCCGAGTGGTGTTTTCTTGGATCCGGCCTCTTCCTTTCAAAAGAGTTGAGGCTCTCTATTAGTTCGCGAGTGCAGTTATGAAGACCTTGCAATTAGTCCTGAAGCGGTTGTAATGCTCCGGCGAGGCGGTGTCAGTGCCCCGTGGTGGTTGCGGCTTTCATCCGGTACCACGCCCAATCCCTCCCTCTGGACAGTGATGCTCAAGTTAACGCGAGCAGCCGTAGTCCATTCCAAACGGCCGTGTCGCCCCTCTACGACATGGCGTGTGGTTGGGGAGAAAATAAAGAGACTTAAGAAAAAGAATGGCTCTCTCGCCCGTTTGGCACTACGCCCCTGACGTTTAGGTTTCAACATGAGGCGCAGTTTGAACTCCACGACTAGAGCTCGTTGTCGGGGTTAGTTCCGAACGGCCAGCATCAATCAAAGAGAGAGGTGCTTTGGTCCTTCAACCCTTATCCCTTCTTATGAGGAGCAGGTCGCGCTGAGACTTTTTCCTTAACGGGTAGAGGTCTTGGGGTCGCGATGCAGGCATTGCTATCCCCCTTATGTTGAGACCTAAGACTAGAAAAAAGGTAAGCTCAATCTCTTGCTATTTCCATGGTCGGCCCGACGACCTTACATCAAGTTGCCTAGGGTCCCCTGGCTATGCAATGCAATATTCAATCCTCAAACACTCAATCCCATGCTATTTCCAAGGCTGATTCTCATGGCTGGTCCGAGAGCCTCTCATCAATAAGGCCACTCACATGGCCGGTCTGGCGGTCATTTTCTCAATAGCCATTTCTCAAGACTGATCCTTCTGCCCATTCAATCCTCAATTCTCTTATTCGTCACCACCCAATCTCTGTGACCGTCCCAATGGTCCCTGCCCTTTTCGGCTTTAAGGCTCCGCCTCCTTTATCCTCTCCTTCTTATTCACATCTTTCTTCCGCCCCCTTGGCTATTTCAGCGGCCGACTCATTGACCTTTTCCGTCTCTTCCGTCCACTTCATTGGCTATTTCTTTGACCGATCCACCGACCTCTTCCATCTCTTCCATCCATCCATTGGCTATTACAATGACCGACCCATCGGCCTTTTTCACCTCTTTCATCCATCCATTGGCTATTTGAATGACCGACCCACCGGCCTTTTCCACCTCTTTCATCCATCCATTGACTATTTCAATGACCGACCCACCGGCCTTTTCCATCTCTTTCGCTCATTCCAGCACATTCTCAATCAACCTTTCTCAATCATCCTTTCTCAATCAAATATGCAGGGGACCCCAGTGCCTATTTCAAAAGGAATGACCCTTGTCAGGGGTCATTCCCGAACAACCTGGTTAGAGTCGTTATTTTCCATTCTCAAGTCGAACAACCTGGTTAGGGTCATTCTTTTCCGTTCTCAAGTCGAACAACCTGGTTAGGGTCATTCCTTTCCATTCTCAAGTCGAATAGCCTGGTTAGGGTCATTCCTTTCTATTCTCAAGTCGAACAGCCTGGTCAGGGTCATTCCTTTCCATTCTCAATGTTAGTGCCTGAGGGGGTGGGCCTCGAGGTTACGGATCCCATTTCCGTCTTGGAGGTTAGAAGGTGGTCATCTCATTTTTTGCGCGCTGTTCTCTTTCTTCCATTTCTCACAGTAATGTACTATCCATTCCATTTCTCACAGTAATGTACTATCCATTCCATTTCTCATAGTAATGTTCCATCCATGCATACATCCGACTTAGCGTCTAGCACTCGAGTTAGGGCTCGCGACCCCAAGCAGCACTAGCTCACCCAGCCGTTCAACCATAGCAAGAGAGAGGGGCGCCCTCTTTTTTTCTTCACTCGTTCGGACGACTCAGATCTTGACCATTCTCAGACTGATTCATGACTCGGTTGGATTAGGTTCCTAGGGAAGGAGTATTCTCTATGCCCCGTAATCCATAGGTTCCCTAACCTCTCTTGTACTCGTCCAATCATTCAATGCCACGGTTCGCTTGTCAATCCGTACTCAAGGTTTTCCCTTCTTAAAAGCACAATCCTTCCATCCAGAATTCACAATACACCCTCTCCCAATTGGTCTCATCCTAAATCCCATATCTTTGTCTTATGCACCCAAGATAGCTCATCCAAAAAGTAGCCTCAAAACCACCTTCTATCTTATCGTGACACAGCCTTAGCTGACCCTCTTTTCACTTCATCCTTGGCAAGCTTGCCCATACTGTACACGTTCTCGTCATTATCATGTCTCTGCAGACAAAAAAACAGCGATCGTTTTCAAAGCTAAGTCAACACCTAGTTTCTATTGCTGCCTTGTACCTCGTCTTGCCCAGTTCCTTGTCCACCCTGTTTCTCGGCAGGCTTCGTGACCCCCAAGCCGTAGGTCTCCATTTCTTTCTTCTTTCTTGCAATTTTCCGTAGTTCAGTTTCACTAAAGAAGTTCAGCGGCGTAGCTTCCACTCCCGCCTTTGCCAGTTCCCGGGTCTTGATAATCCATTCGTGCCTGATCACATTGGTCCATTGCTGAAACCAATGACTGGGTGTTGGTCCAAACTCGTCCTCCCATCCGAAAGCCCCATCGCCCGGCTGGTCCATCGGAGGCCGCCCTTCTTCCCTAGGCCTTGAGATTTCATCCCTCTCATCCTCGCTGCTGATTTCTATGACTTCTCCTACATCCTCCTCCTCGGCCTCCTCGTCTTCTGTCTGTATGGGGCTATACCCACCTGCAAGGTTCTTCGGATCGTAGGTAAAAGGAATCTTTGTCCCCATCCCATACCCCTCACAACTGTCGTAACCGCTTCGTCCTTCAAGCGGGCTTTCCCTTCTCTCCTCACCCTCCTCATGTTCGTTGCACATGTTTTGTCCCCCCTCGCTTTCCCCATGCCAAGTCTCACGCCGTTTGCCCCTGTCGGCTCCTTCCTCGTCAGAGACCTGAACCTTATCTCCCATATCTGCATTGCCTCTTTCTTCCACTTCTGCCTTTTCCTTCCCTCCCTCACTGTCATACGAGATTTTTATGCCTTCTCCCTCACGGAGGGGTGAGGATTTCCTACACAAGCATTTCCTTCCACCCCTACCTACCACTGGCCCACCCATGAGTCCTATGTACAACTTTCTCTTTCCCGCCCTCCTCCCTTGGCTTGGTCCTGCTTCCTCCCCTGCGGTAGGCCTGTTGATCACCCCGCTGTCGTTCTCGTTGCCGAATTCCATTTTTTTTTGCCTTTTCTCGTTCTTCTCATAGGTCCTGTATAACAAAACAACACCCGCAATGCCCCGCATACACACATCCCCCCCCCAGTCTGGTAGGCAGCTCCCCTTCCCCAAAAACAATGCTCCCAGTATCCTTCGCATCATGCCCCTTTTACACATTTCCTCCCTTATGCAAAAGCGTCGTTTGTGAAGATCCCATTTTTTTTTCCGTCAATGCCCAAAACACCCCTTCCCATCGTCACACAAGCCAGATATTACAACCTCCCAAGTCATGTTGCCTTTCAACCATCAGTCAGTCCAAGCCGTTGCCCCAGTCCCCAAAAACGACAGTCCCATGAACATGGTCAGAGACAAACCATAGTGTGGGCAAGGCTGTGGTTAGTCTTTAGCTTGTGGTTCCTAAGTTTCCTTATCTTCGGCCTCCTGAAGCCATTGTTCCACTGGGTCCCGACTTAGAAACCTGACCAATCGTTGCCCCGGGAAGGGCCCTTTCAATCCAGTTTCATCAAAATCTTCCAGTTCGAATGTGTTCAGTCCCACCCGCTTGGTGACCCGGTAGGTGCGTTTGGACCTTCTTCCCAGCTGTCCCGACCAAGTACTTTCTAGTGCCGAGTTCCTCAGCAATATCATCTCACCCACTTGAAGTGGCTCCTTTCTGACATTCTTAATCTGGTCCCACCTTGCTTTGTCCCTCATTTTGCTGTCTAGTACGCGGTGAATTCCACTAAGCTCATCACTGCTTCCCGGCCTCTCTCGACCGCCATTGTCATTAGTTCCTCCTTCGGTCCTACTATCTCTCCCTATGGGTCATTTTTTTCTCTACGTCCTCGAGTGGTGACTGGTCCTTCTCTAAGTTCTGCTACTACGGCAGGTGCCCCCTTTTCCAAAGTCTGGATCAAGAGTTCTCCTGATGTGCACTCCTTGCTCATCATTTCATTATCCACCGCGAGAGTCCCTCCTTTGTATTCGAGGAATGCGTCTATGGGCTCCGCACCCTCCACCCCTTCCGGAGTGATGCAGACCCGGCTCAGCCCATCGGCCTTGTTCCTAACTCCTGCAATCCGTTCGATCTTGTAATCGAACTGCCACATAAATCCTACCCATCTCCCCACCGTCGGGTCTATAGGTCTGTAATTCTTTCGGGCCCCTGCAACATTCGTTGGATCGATCCTAAGGATGAACCGCCTCCCAAATAGGTAGGCCTGAAAGGTCTTAAGGCAGTGCAAGATGGCTAGGACCTCCTTCTTGAACTGCGAGTACCGCCGCTCTGCGGAGTTCAGGGTTCTACTTTCGAACCTAATTGGCCTCTTTTTTTCTCCCTCATCCCTTTGAATCAACACGCCTCCTACCGCTAAAGGTCCTTCATCCGTCTCTAGGATGAAGGGTCGTCCTACTTCGTCATTAAAACAAGGTGCGAACAGGGCGGCTGTCTCAGATCTCAATATGTCCTTAAGCTTCTGGACTGCTCCTTCTCGCTCCTCCGTCCAATCCATGGTTCCTTCCTCTCTGATCATAGCCCAAATAAGTTCCGCAATCTTGGCAAAATTCTTAATGAAGATCCTCCAAAAACCGACCACGCCTAGGAATGCTCTCACTTCCGTTGTAGTGCGCAGGGGGGTCGGCCACTGCGATATCTTGTCCGTTTTCGCCGGATCTGGCTTCCTACCGTAAGCACCGCAGCGAAATCCTAGTATGGTTACTTCTGGTACTTCTAGAATACTCTTTGGTCCACTAGCGATAATGTTGTATACTAGGAACCGGCGGAGCAAGTCCTCGATGTCTTGTAGATGGTCCCATACAAACTTTCGGATTCCCGGTTGGACTTCTGTCTTGTCCTTCTCCTGCGCATCTTTGATTGGATTGTCATCGATATAGGGCTCACACTTTTCCAGAAACATGTCCCCGACCACGACGAGCATTCTGCGCTGCGCTTCGGCCACCACGTTTGTGAATCCCATAGGGGTCATTTGCATCTGTAGCTGGCCTACGGGGGTGTGCATAGCGGTGTACGACCTGTTCTGGACATCCAACGGGAGCTGGTTGTACCCTGAGTACAGATCTATCAGGGAGTAAATGCTCCGACCGGCTTGCGATTCTACTAATAAGTTAGCCTGAGGTAGCGAGTCAGCATCCCGGATGGTTACCGCATTCAACTTCTGCAGATCCTGAATCCACCTTAGTGTCTTGTTAGACTTTCGAAAGACGAACCACCGGTTTGCGTATGGCAACGTCGTAGGCTTCGCAACGAAGGAGTCCATTTTTGCTTGGAGGAGGTCTGTCACATCCCCTGCTATCCCAAATTCATAGGACGGCCCCTTGTCATTCCAGCACTCATGTTCTACTTTGTGGATTCTGAGCAGAGGGATCAGCTTCGCATCCAGTCGTCCCTTCTGGTGATCACTAAAGGCAAATGTCAAGTGAAACTCCTGGCAGGTCCTTTTGATCGGGCGGGTTTCCTCTTCCGTTAGGAACCCGTCTATCACTATCTTCATTGTGTCAGCTACCTCATCTGGTATCCGATGTCCCTCCGTCGCCCTTCTTTCTTGGATTACTTGAAGGACCTCTTCCTCCTTCTCCATAGCCTCTTCCTTTGATGTCTCTAGCAGGATCGAGATTGGTTTTGTTTTCTTCCCTACCGGCTTGTACTTTCGAACACTTCCTTCCGGGATCTTTCTCCTAAAAAATGAACAGTCGGAATCACCCTCGTTGCCTCTACGACTCATGGTTGAATACTAACTAGCTTCCCATTTAGGCAATATCCCTTTTGCACCTCTCCTTTGAACTTGGCCAAGGCTGCTGAATCCACTCCTACCTTGTGATATCTGAGAGCCTTGATGAGTTGTAACAGATCGGGGATCTCGAGTGCGACCTCTGGCACGTTTATGCGTACTTCTTTCGGTTTGGGCAGGCTAGCACCAAGTTCGACCTCTGACTCCTTTTTTGCTACCATAACCCCTAGGACTTCGTCCTCCTGCCTCCTCTTCTTTTGGGGCAGGCCCATCTTGATCCACTCCCTCTTGTTGAATGCCTCCTCAATTATGATTTCCACCCTTTCTCTCATACCCTCCATCCGTGCGAAGGCCCCTTTTCGCGTGCTATCCTCGAACGACGGCGACCACGTTGCCAATTTCCCCTTAGGAGGGTCTCCTCCCGTTCCAAGGAGTCGGAGGAGCTCTCCCCGGCCGGTCACGAGGTCCTCTATGTCTACCATGCATGAGCCATCGTGCAAGTGCATGCCTATCATCTCCACGTTCGCGCAGCACGGTCTCCCAAGGATAATGTCGTGGTCCATTTCCTCCATTACGGTCATCCGCTGAAACGACCAGATCGATTCCCTGACTTCTGCCCTTACAGCACATTTCGTGACGTACCCGGCGAACGGGATTTCCCCGCCTGCGCCCCGGATGCTCCCTGTTACTTCCTTGTTTATCGTACATCCCGTGATCGTTGCGAAATCTCTCCTTATGAGAGTGATTTCTGCTCCCCCGTCTACTAACGCGTCGGTATGATGAGTCCCGATCTGGATTTTCAGCTTCCCTACGGGCAGTGCATGAAAGCTAAGCTTTGTCCTGGGTGGTGACCTTATGACCTCGCTGCCCTCTCGGTCAGGCAAGCTCAAACGAATGTCCGCAAAAGCTTTCTCGAGATCCTCCAAGTCCCCGTGACTCCTCTGAAGGTTAGCCACTTTTTGCGGAGCTTCCTCCTCCCTCTCTCCTTCTGGAAAATTGGGGGTTGTCGCCTATTTCTACTCGCCGCCGAGTCAACAGTTGTCTAAGCCCTTTGAGCAACCTAGGGCTAGCCTGCAGCATGGTCTGAAAGGACACCGATACCATGGTTCCTAGTAACTTGCTAATGGTGTCGTCGATCTCAGGCAAGGATAAGATGGGGATTTGGTACCTTAACTTCTTCTTGGCCGCGGTAACTTTATCTGTAGGCTCCTCTTCCCTAGGTTTCCCATAGACCTTTCCTGGTTCCTTAGCCTCAGGCTCTGCCTGGGGCTCCGAACTTCCAGCAACCTCCTCCATCACGGTATCACGTATAATCCTTTTTCCAGCTGTTTCTAATCGAGTGGTTGCGTTCACCCTATCACGTCCGTCGTTTTCCAAAATAAAGTTGACCTGCGGCCCGCGCCCCCGGGGTTGATCCCAGATGATCTCGCCCACCGGTTCGGCTTCCACGACCGTTATTTCTAACCCGTTGAGCATGATGACGGCTTGCCGCATCCCTTCTGGCGAGTTCCAGTTCACCCGTTCCCCTTGTGGTCCAAATATCTCCCCCTTTAATAAACTGGTACACCTTCTTTTCAAAATCTCATGGTTGAGCTTTGGGCACGCGCGCACATAATGTCCCATCGCGGTACAATACTTTCATTGCTCGTTAGCAGGATCTCTCCGTCTGAATCCCCGGTTGGCCACACCTGGCGGAACCACAGCTTCCTGGGGAGGGAGGGCGGGTCGAGACACTTGCGCCTGCATAACCAGTAGCACACCCTCCATCCTTTCGATTTTATTGTCGACCCCATGCACCTGCTCATGTAGACTTTCAATCCCCTTCTTTACCTTGTCGTCCGCTCTACCAGTCAGATCTATGACCTCACCTTCCTTAAGCAAGGCCAATAACTCGGTCACTACCGTTTTTTCGGCCAGATCCGTTACCGTACTGAAATCAATATCCTTAGTGTTTACAAATTTGCTCGTCTGTTGGTAAGTCGACAGGATCTTGTCCTTGTCGAACTCGGAGAACTGTTTGAGGAAGTACTTACTCATTATTCGGTCCGTAACCCCGGGGATTCTTACTGCTACCAAAGTAAACTCCCGTAGGAAGTCATTGTACGTCGCGATGTTCTTCCTCTGGACTGTCGTTAAATCGGCCTCCGTTGCCATCTTCTCTGCTGCCAGATACTTTCTCATCATCACATCCTGGGTTTCTTTCCAAGACCGGCTCGCGGTCACGATGGCCATTATGTCCCGTCCTAGGCTCAACGACACATGCTGCCCCAGGTGGTCCATCTTCTCCTCTTCGGTCCATTTCAACTGCGCAGCCAGATTCTCGTAATCTATCAGGAATTGCGTGATGTTTGTCCCATCAAACGTCAACTTTTTCTTAGCATCCGCTAGGTAGCCTTGATTTTTGTTCAGTGCTCGCGCGAGGGACGACACTATCTTCTTAAGGTCGCCCTCGGAGCTGCTGGCCTCGCCTGCCATACTGTTATCCGGACCTTCCTTGCCGGTCTTCTGTCCCTCCCTGGTTTTCGCAATTCCTTCTGGGTCAAACCATCCCAACACTCCTTCCCTAAGGCTCAAGAGTCCTTCGCACCCTCGCGTTACTGGTGGCGTGGTCGGCAGGCGGCTAGCCCTACTATCTATGGCTGGCGGGTTTGTAGCCTTTTCCGCCTCCATCCTCGGAGAGTTCTCTCTCTCTTTCCTTCTCTTGCCCGGCGTTCCTCCACGGTCACTACCTTTATTCCCTTGTCTAGTCCCACCACGGCTGGTTTTCCGTTCGTCCCGGGGCTCCTCCTGTAGAGGGCCTTCTTCGTTCCCAGTCATCATTTCCTCAATCAATCTTGCCTTGTACTCCGCGGTCTTTTTTTCTATCTTGGCTTGTCTGCGCTTTGTATCCGTGACCCTTACTTTCTTAGACACGGCTCCTTCCGAGTTTCGGGGGTTTGTCGTGTCCTTATTTTTGCCCTCCTTGGTCTCATGAGTCCCTTGCCTGCTTCCCCTGACTTTCCCTGAGCTTTCTCCTTAGAAGATCTCCTTCCGGTTCCCTTTGGTACCATCCGGATTTATCGATTCTCTGTCCTTCTGCCCCTCTTCGCTTTGTACGGCATTGCCTCCTAAGCCTGGTCCTCCTTCACTCCTACGTTTACCCGCCTCTTCCTCCGTTGCCATACTTGCCTACTTCTGCATAACCTCAGAACAAACGAAGTGCGAGGCATTTAGATTCCCTAGGTTCCAGTCGTGTTGGTTTTACCCCTTTTATTTGATAATTAGGCTTTTTCCCATTCCCATTTCCTGATGGCTTCCTTCATATGGGGCCGCGTCCGGCTCCGCTGCCCCACCGAGCTAAGGGCGTGACTTAGCTACCCTTATCACTTGTTCGTTTAAAGCGCCCTTATTCCGCTGGTCGGTGCGTAGGGATCCAGGCGGCAACCTGCTAGGACAGTTTTTCCTGCATAGTGTTCACCGTCTAGCGGTTATTGATCATCCGGGTCCGAGGCCCCCTTTTCCTATCTCTGTTGGTGAGCCTTCGAACGTAGCGGACTGTACTTGATTTGCCCTACAAGCTCGCCTGCGGGTCCTAGTCTCGTTCTCGCCCTCGTGGCCCTTCCGGTTCCGTAGGTTCCTCGAATGGTTCAACCACCCCTGCTAAATAACTCTCTCCTATCTCGATTTCTCTTTCAATTATGCGTTCGCATCCCACCCAGTCTAGTCGTGACGCCCTAAACATCAAGATGTGGATAACTTCCAGTAACTCGTGGGCCCTGTTTCCCCATAACGGCCCATGTTCCACAGCGATATTATAGAACATCCCAATGGTAGGGGAGGGAAAGTGGCCTGCCCAGACTATCGTTGAGTCTGCCAGCTCCCGCGCCCGTGCGAGGCCCCCAAAAACGAGGTCTATCATAAAACGGGGAACTCGGCACCTTAGTGGTGTGGTTGGTGCCCTGAACTCCCTCCAACCTCCCATTTCCACCCGGGTAAGTAATCCCACGTTCCTCCTACCCCTGACTGATTGTCCTATCCGGGTCAATGTCCGGGCGGCCCTTCGAAAGACCGATGCCAGTTCATGACCTTGTGCTATTTCTAACCCCAACGAGTGTCAGTCGATCTCAGGCAGATACATGGTCCCGGTAACTTCCAGATTGGAATACAGATCGTCCCCGGGTCCTCGATTGAGTCTCATCTTTGTCCACCGACATTCTACCAACATGAAGGCGGCGTCCCGTCCCAAAGTCACGGCCCGCCATTCTATGTCAAATCCCCGATAGGTAGAACTCGACGGGAGGGATACTTCCCATCGTCCACCGTTATTCCAAGGCGGTCCGGGGTATCGGGGCTGGCGTTCCATTCGCAAACGGGGCTGGCATTCCATTCGCTCACGTCTTGCTGCCATCGTTGCCTTGGTGATTTCTTGCATAGTCCACATAGAAAGGGTTACAGCCAATCCCAAGAAACCGCCCACCTACTGCCTTCCTTGTCCTTCGTGTTTTCATTGCTCTTTTCTAGTCAAACCATCCCTCCATACCCCTGGGAGCAGTAGCCTCTTCTGGCTGTTCGTACAGCCGGTAGAGATCATCTATGTAGGTCGCGCCCCGACCTACCTCTCGCTGGATGACACTCCACATGGCCTCATCGCTTATTTGTGGGACTCCCGGCCTAGTATTTACTACTGCCCGTAGAATGCAAAGCACCTCGCGCCCCTGTTCGTCCCCAAAAGGCCCCATCTCTAGGAAGGTCCGATAGTATTCTCGATACATTAATGCTTCGTCAAGATTAAGCCTAGTTACGACAGTCACTTCCTACTCCACTCGTTCTATGCCTCCCATTAGCCTTAGCAGAAAGGGCGGTAAACTCATCCGTACGACCTCATTGGGCAGCTCAAAGATCCCTGCCGCGACAATTCTTACATCGGTCGTCACGTCGTCTCGTTCTGGGACTGCGAACTCAAACCCCTCTCGCCAAGTTATTTGCC